TCTCTAAAGCCCAAAACCCCTCAACAACCCCTCGTCAGCCCCTAAATAAATTTTTTAAAAAACTCCACCCCTTCTCCTAATTTCCACACTCCAAATTTTCTGATAATATTTACCCCACACATTCCCCTGGACAGGAAAATTCCACTGCCCCCAACCGCCCCCTCCTGCGCTTTCCCAAAACCCCAAGCTCACACCCATATAAGATGTTGTACTACTTATTTATACATTCCCTTCTTTCCTCCCATAGAAAAATTTTTTTTGACACCACAAAACCTCATGCACCATCCCTTTTTTTCCTCATAATTTTTTTGTTAACCTAACCCATAAAATTTTTTTTTTTTTACCCCATCATCGGCCATTTCGCACTGAGGCAGGGCACTCAAAAAAAAGAAAAACCCCAAAAAGAATAAAAAACTTTCATCCTTCAACACTTTCCCCATCATCATACATAATCACTGTCTTTCAGAGGCGCTCAATACACATTTTTAGTGTCACTCCAAACAGCCAAATACCCCCAACCCCCCCCTTTTAAAATTTCAGGCATTGTACTTCCCCCTTCGGGCCAACCGGTAACCGGTTTTTGCTAATCCCTTAAAAAAATATTCCCGCTCATGCCCCAAACAGCGGGTTAGGCCCCCAAAATCTTCGCCCTTTTCACTCATATCAAAAGCTTGACAGCCTGTTCAGCCCAAAGCCCCTTACCCCAAAAAACTTTTTTAAAACCCCCCCCGGCTCTACCCAATCCCACTGGGTGGGTGAAAAAAAAAAACAAAAAAAAAAAAAACTTCATTTCCCAAAATCACTGCTTGCAGAAACGAAAAGATACACAGTCAGATGTCACCCCCAAACAGCAAATCCCAACCCCCCCTTCAAAGTGTGGGCATTATACTTCCCCCCTCCAGGATGCAACCCTGGCAAACAGTTTCCTTGAAACCTTTCAAAACTTCCCAAACACACATGTTTATACAGAAAAGGGTTTTTAATAACTAAACAAAACACCCTTAAAAACCTATAAACCTCAGCACAAATACATTTCTATAAACTGTTTTTGGATTTATTAATTCATACGCTTAAAAAAATTTTTTGAGGCAGCTACAATTTAGCACTTAATTTGACACGTATTATTATTATTATTGAGGGATGTTGTAATTATTTTTTTTATGGCACAAAGTGTATGATGAACAGCAGTTACTTTGGATTTTAATCCAGGTACCCAATCCAGATTTCTATTTACAGAAACATATTACACTTATAATACTCAATCTCAAAAAAAAAAAAAAAAGAATAATGATATTGAAAAATAAACATTTATTTGTCAAAATGCATTCACGTGCATTTATTTGTTAGGAATGATGTATTTTTTCTCAGAGGCGATTACATTTGGTCCACTTTACCACCTAACCTTATATACTGCAGTATACACCAGTAAATATCCTATCGAATTATTTACAGAAAAATAAAATGTTGAATGTTTTGGCTAGATGAAGAAACACAAAGGCAAGTGGCAGTGATATTGAACAGCTAGCTGTTTCATTACACCATTGAGAGTTTTTAAAAAAAATCAACATTTTACATTTAATGGGATTAGACACTTTCATCAACTATTACCAAACGAAAAACGGGACTATACGCCTTTTTTGGTGAAGAAACTTTACCCGGGCAGTTGATTTTGATAAAAAAAACTACTCCTTTGGCCCCGTTAGCACTAGAAAAGTGTGCAAATACAATTTTCTTCTGTCCACACAAACCCAACACAAAAAAAGTTTACTAATCTGTTTTTTGAGCAGAATTTTAATTGCCCTTTGTTTTTTTTAATGAGTATTAACAGTATTACTGTAGCAATTTTCCCATTAAAAAAAGCTATATAAACCCCTAAGTGTTTGTCCTTCCCTATTTAAATAAAAAATAATTTATTAACAAGGAGGGGGGCATATGCACCCTTTCCCCCAAACATTCCCATCCTTACATAACTTTACCCACTTTTCCCATTGACATATGAGTGTTTATAAATACCTATAGAACAATATTGTGAAAAATTATTTTTGTCTTTTGAAATTAATCACGAGTTTTTTCACTTTGAAAAGTACAGTTAAAATGTTTAATTTTTGTTCAGGGTATTTTTTCTCCCTGACCAACACAACTGGTCTGCAGAAATTTTATGGTAAATTTTAAACTAGAAAGAATCTAATTTCTTAAAATTTTCCACCATTGAAAGCTTGTTAAAATTAAAACCATGGGTTATGAGTCCCTTTCGATTTTTGTTTTTGCTAAAGAATCCAGTTTTTATGTATGCAGGTATCTGAGAAAGCACTCAAAGTTGATGTTGACCCTAATTTCAAAACACACTGCTCACCAATTTTACTAAACACAGTAATCAAAATTCATGAATTCTCAGATTACTAGCCTACTATTGTGGTTTATTTTCATACATAAATTATGCTGCACTAAGTAACTGAGCAAATATCAGTTAACATAAATTTATAAATGTTTTAAAATATATTCCAATTTTGCAGGTTTTGCAAATTAAAAAATAAAATAAATTTAAATGTTTAGTAGGGGTTATCAAGGATACAGCTGTTTACCACGCCTAATGAATGAACATTTCTTTTTAAGAAAATAATACGCATCCCTGTAACCCATAAGATACAAGCTCTCCAAAACCTCCGCTGGTGGGGGTAACATGGCTTGGACCAATCTCACTACGTTGGCTAATGTTAAAGCCAAATGTTCATTAGAAATATTTACATACACTGGTCTTTTTGAATTACTTTTTGGACAAATGTCTGTTAAGCTGTCAAATGGGCTTATAGTGATGGCTGGCTGCTGGATCACGGGAAGGTTATTGGTAAAACATCCATCTATGTATTTGGTTCCCCGGAAGAGTGGGAATTTAAAACCCGAATAAAGTGGGATGAAGCATGAACACAGGAGACACTGAATGAGCTCCTCTCTTGATTCCCAATTGGACACCAATACATTTTCCTTATTGGTAACCTTAGTGATTGATACAAACAGTCCACCACTGGCTCGGGTATGAGCAAGGAGGTAAAGTTTCAAAGGCTAATCTTAAGTGTCTTAATATTAAAGTTGGGGTTAAAGGGGACCCTTTGCCCTTTTTAGAGGGCGCTGTTCAAAAAAGCCAGACTTTAAATTTTACTGGCACACTGCACACCAAACAAGCTCCCAGAAGACACCAAGATGCTCCCCATTTTTCCCCCTCTAAAAAAGACCGGGCCCATGATATCAGACTGAGGGGACCAAGTTCGTAAAGCCCAAGAACCCAGAGCCAGACGGGGAAACCACCAAACCCCCTAAAATTAAAACAGCCTTCATTTTAAGTTTTGCTTTCAGCTTTTTAACTTGTCATTATATGTATTACAGTAAGTAAAAAAAAAAATTTCCTTTTTTTAGCTAATAAAATTTATATACTATACATGGATTCCTTGCTTTCAAAACATGTTTTTCCAAGTTACAGGGCTATGACCTTTTAAAAAGGAAAAAAAGAAAAAACTTTTTTGGCTGTTTGAGGTTCCAAAAATTTTATGAATTCACAGTAAAGAATTTTAAAAAAAATTACAAAGGGTTTTCATATGGTATTCCCTTTGGCGCGAGCTTCCAAAAATTCCCTTTGAAAATGCAAGTATTGTATACCCAAATGGAAAAAAATTTTATTAGACTATGAGGGGGAGGCTTAGAGTTCATACAGGCGACTACATTAGCAAAGAAGATTTATGCCAGGTTTGCCCCCCTTCGCTGTCCTAAAGGGTGTTCTTTAGGAGATATATCTGCATATCCACTATAGGGACTAATAGAAATATTATTAGAACCAACTACTGGTTGTTTGTTAGTATAACCACCATCCATGTATCTTTCACCATATAATTTGGGTGGGTGTATTCCAGAGAAGCCCAAGATGAAGCATGAGCATCGCAGAGTCTGAATAAGATCGTCCCGAGACTCCCACTCTGAGAATATCACATTAGACATGTCGTGAACCCGAGTAACTGACACATAAAGTCTGCCACTTGCTCTGATGTGAGCATCTGAGGGTAATGACTCCAGTCCTGCATTCAAATAATCTTCAAATTTAAATCCTGGGGTAAAGACTCCCATTTTCCATTTGCGAGCCTCAACTGCAGTGCGGAGAAAGCCATTCCTAACACCTTTAAGAGGCACATCACACACCACTGATGCTCCAAGCAAGGCTCCTGCTGATGCTCCAGCAATAACAGCACTGTGTAAGAATCTTGGAGAGTACATTTTTAGACAGTCCAGTGCTCCAATAACGTACACGCCTAAGAAGCCACATCCAGACAGCGATACACATCGATTCCTAAAATACGATGAAGGAATTTTGTACCTAATGGGTTAAGCTTTTTAAACTATAACTGAATTAAGAGTTTTGATATAAAAATATCTAAAGCTGGATATCTGATGAACTTGATTACAGATGAAAATTAAGCAGTTCTCATCTAACAAAGTTACTTCTTACCAGAAATGAACCTTAAATGGGATATATTAAGGGCAAAACTATTTAGTGAATGTAAGATGTTTAATGAATTACTATTACATCATTCAATCAGCCAGGCTCAGATGAGTGCTACTCTCTGATTCCTGGGAAAGGGTATACACTCTCAGAATTTCTGAGTCTTAGTTCAAACATGGGCCATGTGTAGCTTTCTTATTTGTTTTCCCATATTCTAACATAAGTTTAAGAGGAAGACTAATATCATAGAAATAAAAACTGATGCTATATTTTGAGGCAGGTGGCATGACTACAGCATTAATTCTAGCTGCTGCTAACCTCTAAGCTACAGCAAATTTGATCTTTGTTTTTACATTTTAGACCCAAAAATTTTCCACTTGATCATAATGGACCTGTATGAAACATATCGGATAAAACTGACAAAGCCTCAGCAAATCCCCTGCAAGGAGGTGTCTGGCAAAACTATTAGTGCAGCAGACTGTGTCACATGGCATCTGGTCAATCTTACCATTAATGAAGCAGACCAAGTCTACTTCATTGAAGGTTTATCCAGCCTGGCTTGTGTCCAAAACTAGTCTGTTTTCATTGTTCCTGGGCAGCAAGGCAGGGTTTTATTGTCTGAGGGCAGTCCCTAATCTACACACTGTTTTAACAGATTACTAGCATGTGAGATACAGAAGCGAATATAGAAGAGACTCAATGAAACAAATAGAAATAATTTGCCAATATCTGTCGTCCAGATATCTTCAAGAGGAAAATGGACAAGTTTCTGTAGAAAGTGCCAAATCAGCCAGATTATGATGGCTTTCTAGACTTGAAGGTCTGGGGAAGCAACAGTCTGGTGCATCAGGCAGCCAATAGGGAAGTCTGATCTGAGGCCAGACCACAGAAGACCTCCCAAAATCTGTCTCAGGTATATCATCAGCATGTGACATTCATGGTATTGTGATTTTTTTAACTACTCAAAATAAAGATAAGCTTCATTTCTATTCTAAATTACAGAATTTAATTTATACTCTCACAGCAAGTAGAAAAAGGGATATAATAACAAAAAATCTTTGACAATTTAACTTTTATGATTGGCAAACACAGCACCTTAATGATGCTGACAAAATGCTCATCTAAAATGTCTTTCAAACAGTATCTGGTTGTTTTATTCAGCCAGCACTGCTATCTTATCCCTTACTCATGTGTCCAACAAATAATATATAGACCAATCTGATACATTCTAGGCTTATCAACTTTTAATTTAATCACAAACTAATTATTCAAGGTTTCATTACTTCCCATGAATGCACTACACTGTTCACAAAAAATCTTGCCAGTCACTTGTAGCATTTATATTCAAAAAAAGCAACTTTAGACTACTCACTTTTATAAAAATAGTTTTAATAATATATTGCATATACTGTATATTCAAAACTGAAAAATGTATTCTCATATTTTTGTATTATATACTAATTAAGGTCACATTTTAAAGTGTAATATATTGTAGTACATGGATACATCCACAAACCAAATATAAAACATGCCATGCACACAGCTAATGGGTATATATGATGAATGAAAGAAATATTTTGTTAGACTCAAGACCTGAAGTGTAATGCATTCCCTAAAAGTACAGTATATAGAAATGATCTGACTTAAAGGCTACTGTCTGTATTGACAGCAGTGCCTTTAAATACTTTGTCCTTGTATTTTGTATTTTTTCACATTTTCTCATGTAAATACAATGAATATAGCAAAATAAAATCTTGTGATCTTGTTAAATGGCACATGAGTAAAAATGACTTCACATGATTTTTAGGATATTTCACTATCATATTAAATAGCTTCACTGTTTCAATATGTTAACAGCAGCTATTGCAACAGCTCCAAAAGTGATAAGTGCAATCTAATCTTTCATTGTCTCACTCTGTATCCCATTACCTTGTACTCCACCTTGTCCTTGTGTATCACATGATTTTTAGGATATTTCACTCTATTAACCCTTTCAGGGTCGGTCCCGCTGTAACATGGCTTTGAAGCTGGTCCCAGAGTACAGCACCGTGAACTCAGCTCACTCAGATAAGCTGCGAGTGGTAAATTTGGGACTAGATATGAGAGAATGGGTCAGTGCAGTAAGTGTGCACCATATAAAAAAATCCTGTAACACACAATGCATGAGAAAAAAAATGCGACCATGTTATTGGTTTAAAACAGCGACTTTGCGGTGTATTTTCATATGGTTTTTATGGTTATATTCTCAGTTTGTTGGTCTCATTTGATAGAATGTTACAGAAATAGAGATGATTTTGGTTGGTTTCAGGACTGAAAGTAGCTTGAAATTGAGCTCAAAGTAGTGGAAATGTTCTATTTTTGCCAATATTCCAGAGTACACAAATGATGTCACTTGTACAATACGAGTCCAACTGGCCAGTCTAATACACATTTAGGAATGCACTGACATTATTTATACAATTATTACAATAATGCAGAAGTCTGCATAACAGTAAATCTTCCATTTTTTGTGTGAATAAAAATTCAAAATGGAAAGCAAACATAATATAAGAGGGGCCTAGAGACTTGACTAATGAACAGAGAAAATGTTATTTTAGTGCCAGGAATGTCTGCACTGCTTATTCTGGACCATATTTTGAAATTGGCATTTCTTGAATTTTGTGTGAAACTAGACAATTTACCAATTTCTGATCACTTTATTGGGTAATTTAAATAGTTGGATAGGGAAGTTTCTTGTAGTACTCAATCAATAGAATGGAAGGCATACTAGTGAAATAACTAAGAATTTGGTCAACTGGAACAATGAAATTGGCCTAAAATCAGACTCAAAGTGGATGAAATCACCAATGCATAAATATTGCTGACACAGCAAAATTAGCAAAAGCATAATTTCATCAGTTTTCCATCAAATTTTTGAACCTTATGTTTTATTACCTTCAAAAAAAAGTTTTCTTACTATTTCAAATAGTAGAGGGAAAATTTTCAATCTAACTTTCACTCGTACCCCAGTATTCGTACCCCCCCGTCCAGGGTTTATCTGGGTTGCATTACAAATTTCTCACAGGCTTTTTTTTTCTAATAATTTATTCTAAAGAACCCATAATCTGAAGTTTAGTTATATTTATGAGATAACATGATATTTAGTTACATAGCAAACCAAAAGGGGCAACTGTTTACAAAAAAAACAAGGCAGACTTTTGCAATTTTTTTAACCATTTAACTCTGGCTGGGGGCCTTTCCCTCCCCCCCCCCCCAATCCTTTTTGATGTCTTCCCTTCATTAATTTTGCTTTGTATTTTTCTTTGAAACATTTTTTTAAATCTATGGGTAAGCATTTATACTACAAAAATTTTAGGAGTCAAAATCCCAAGAAGGGTATAAAATTTTTAGAGGTTTTTTAAGGGTGGGGCAGACATAAATTTAAAGAAAAAAAAAAATAATTAAGACAGTAACATTTAAAAAGAGGAGTAAAGAGATAAAACATATCGATTACAAAAAGTGACCATACATACCATATACATGGGCCCAAGGCAAGGGAATAAAAATGACATAAAAACATTGTAAATAAACTAAATTAAGTGTCAGCAAAAAAACCTTGCCCTCCCGTTTTACACAAAAATTAACTTGAATGCCAAAAAAATTTTAATAACCTTAAATTTTAAAATTTTTTTTATTTCCCCTTGACTTTAGAATCTGTATGCACCTGGCCTCGAGTCTTCTAAGGGTAAAAAAAAAACAATACCATTGATCCACATCTTTATCATCTCCTCCTTTAACTTTGGCACAGATGAGGGGCCTACTTCTTTAAGTACCCTTTTTTACTGTTCAAAACCCCCTCCTGAAGTGTCTCCCGGTGTCGAAAAATAAAAAAAAAAAAAAAAAAAACATGAAATGTTAAAATTATTTTTCTGATTGTTTTAATCCCCCAAAAAAATTTTTGCCCAGTACTTACCGAGATACAGAGGCAAAGTTGGGAGAAAATGACCCATATGGCAAAAGCGGCGCGCTGCCCCCCAGTAAACTTTGGTTTTTTGTATTCGAAGGGTTTTTTTTTTTTTTTAATTTTATTTTTTCACATAAACTTTTTTTTTTTTTGGTTGTGAGACCAAAAGTATGGGCAATGTTCAATATAATCTTGATGTAACAAATTATAGCAAAAACACAGTATCTATATTTTTTACAAAACATATTTTCACAAACAATATAAAAAAATTTTTATTAAAAATTTTTTATAATTTATATACATATTACAACACTGGACACTTTCCTGAAAACTGCTGAGCTTGTGGAATTTTGAAAAGGGTGTACACAATGGGGTTTTTAAAACTCCCCACACTAAAACAGTTCCGCATTTTTGGGGAGTTTTTTGGGATTTCACAGGGATAACACCTCTTTGAGCATTTTTTTTGAAAAAAGTAGCAGGAATGGATGGGCAGTGATCACCAGGGGCCCCAACAGATGGCACTTTTTGATAATTTTGTGGGGGCTGTTCTATATCAAGTGTTGTTCCTTGGACTTGAATAATTTTTTTTGATAACTACAAACAAAATCCACCATATTTGGGTTTGCTGTTGGGCTTCAACATTACAATTATAAGCAATCAGCATGGGAAAGCAAAAATGGAAAAAAAGTTTTATGACCACTTTTAAAACTCCGCGAACACAATCAGAAACCCCAATTGCATTCACATTTTGTCCCTAAGTGCATATTTAGGTTTTAACCATCACACTGAGGTTTTTCAAAGGGTTCACTGGTCTCTATTCTGCTGCCAGTGTCTGCCTTTGTCAGTGAACTGATGCCAAAAAAGTGACATCACATTTGTCATGCCCCCCCGAAATGCCATGAGTCACTGGCAGCAAACACCTGAACATCACCTCTAAGAGTGCCACATTGAAACCAGGCAAAATTTTCAATTTCCACGCACTGGCCACACACATCGTCATGTTCACTTCAAGAAAACAGAAAAGGGGTTTTTGGACCAGTTGTCATAATAAAATATGCCCCTTTCCAAAAATTTTGGGTTCCCTCATTTTCTAACCCCTCACCAGAGTACCCAAACTTCCTGGTATTTGCAAAGTATTCTGCCAGTGTACACAATTAATCCAAAACCGACCCCTTTTGCAATACAAAATACAAAAAACTTTATACCCAAATGTTTTCCCCTTGCTTGGTATGCACGCTTGAATGACAGTCTGCTTTGAACAAAATCAAAAACAAGCTTCCTGAAGGAATAAAAATACTACGGGACTTTTTTTTTCAGGTAAATAACACTTTGATTTATATAACCTGCCGTTTTGCAGGGCCCGTTTTGTTGAGAAGTGTAAAATTTCGAAAAAGTAGACAAAACTATCATGTATAAGGGCCCCCAAAACTGGGGGTTTAAATCAGGCGGGCTTCAAAAATATGGTTTTTACACTGTGCTTATACAATTGGATAAGCATTTTGTGGCAAAGAACAATACATTCTGCACAGTTGTGTCCTTCACTGGTTGGGGGTGATCTTTATAAAGAACTGTGGTGTTGCCATGGGTTTCTCAAAGTAAGTATTTCTTTCCCTGACAATAATGTCCACAGGGGTTCATCGGAATAACTGAACATTCCAGTTCAGTAGCATTGTTCCCCGGGACGTGAAGGC